GGGAAACGCGCGCGGGGTGGGCGAAGCGCCGCTTGCCCTCCGGCTCCTTCGCTCCCCTTGCAGCAGCCCTGGCTCTGGAGAGCTCGGCCGGCCTGCCAAGAGAAACTTTGGGGGGGGGGGGGGGCTTGGCGGCCGCCCCGGCAGGCGCGCCCCCCGAGCACTTCCCGCGGGGGGTTGCAAAGAGGGCGCGGCGCTGGGGAGGAGGAGGAGGAGGAGGAGAAGGAGGAAGAGGAGGGGGCGCTTGACAGGCAGGCTCTCCCTCCCGCTTGGGCTGCACTCGGAGGCGCCCGGGTTGGAAACAGGGGCTTTGGCGCTTCTTCTCCGCCGAGAGAAAGTTGGCGGAGTCGGGGCGAGGGGGGCGAGCGCTTGTGGCCATCGGGATTGTTTTGTCGGAAGCTGCTTCTTTTTCCGCTGTGCCGGGCTGGCCGCTGCCGGCCTTCAAAGTTTTGCCAAAGTAGCTGCCGCCGCCGCCGCCGGTTTGGAAAGGAGATCCCGGGCGGACTTGGGCTTTGAGAGGGGCGCGCGGGGTCTGGAGCGCCAGGTAGCCGCCGCCGCTGGGCGAAGCTGGGCTAAGCTCACCGTTGGCCTCGCTGCGCGCTTGTTTGGGGAAAGGGGCTCCTCTATGAACTTCCTCCGCCTTCGCTTGGGGGTGCTCGCTCGGGGATGATTCGGGGTACCCCTCCTCCCGTGGAATGGCTCGTGATTGTTTGCACCCCGTTGTATTTGTAGGAGAGCAACTGATCTGGGGCGCCCCTCCGGCCTTCCGCGCCACCTCTCCCGTCTCCTTTCCCCTTTTTAGAACTTGGGGCCGCTGAGAGAAGGCGAGAAATTGAAGGGACCTTTTTCTGCTTTCGAGGCGGAAGAGAGGAGGGCATGAGACTGGCTGGTGCGCCGTTTGTGTCGGGCCAGGGGCGGGTGCTTGGCTCCGCATAGGGGTGGAGTTGGGGAGGGGGGAGCCTCTTGGATGAGTGGGATTTTTAATGAAGGTTCCTCTCCTTGTTTGGCTGCTCCCCGGGACAAGGGAACAGGTGTTACGCTGTCAGTCAAAATTCAAGACTTCTGCGAGGAAGCTGACAGCTGGGGTGGGGAATAGTGGTTTTTAGTAACGACAATAACAACAACAATAATAATAGGAAAGAAGAAACTTCTGGAGAATGACAAAAGAAAAAAAGAAAAAAATCTAAGCTGGTTTTAAGGGCGCATTTGTAGGCAAGAGATTGGGTGCCAATTCCCAGATCTGTCCCTTTAAAGGCACAGCCTTTCCTCAAGCTGTAAAGCCCATAGTAAGACTTGGACTACAGTTCTCATCATCCTTAACAGCAGGGCTGTTAAGGCAGAATGATGGGAAACGGAAGGTGGCAGGGTTCCAGGGGGACCGGAAGGCATTGGGTTCATTCAGTTGGAAAAAATCTGGTTCCTGGGAAAAAGAGAGCACCCCTTCTGTGAAATGAACAACATATTATTTTCTTCACAAAGTTTCTCCCCTCTTGAAGGACAACATTTAGCTTCCCTCTTTCTACCTAAATGTCCTTCCATAAAAAAGCAAGCACTGGGCTGGAAGGAGAGAGGAATAGTTTTGATACGGCCTGCGTAAAATTATGCCTGGATGTATGAACCACCTTTTTTTGGGTGGGTAGGGAGGTTTTGTCTAGAAAGAAGTCGATGCATTCTCACAACACAAAAGGTGCGTGAGTGTTTGTTGTCCATATGGCAACTCTTCAGCCTGTCTGGAGCCCAGGGCGTTGGGGGGAAAACCGGGAGACCTTTGGGCTGGTGCTGTGATATAGTTCAGCGCAGGGACGAGAAGATCTTGCTGGGTCAAGGGTCCACGTGGAATGGGGTGTGTTCAACAGCAGGTGCTCCTTAGATTTCTTTTTATTCCCCCCCTCCCCCGCCATTTGGTGCCTGAAAAAAACTTCTGAAAGAAGTTGCTTTGTGAAGGTTTGATGTTAAATAGCTGTGGTATCTGGCGTCTGTGGGAGAGGAGTGAAACTTTCTATGAACTTGATTAATAAATTCCATGTGTGCCTTCCTCTCAACATATTTTTTTCCCATCACACATGTACCCCCCCCAAAAAAGTTCCTTCCTTCCAGCCATATGGAACTGCATTTGGGAACCACCATCTTCGGAGTAGAGTTCCTTGCCTTTGTCCTCTCTTCTTAGTTGCATGTGTCCTTCACTTCAATCTATATGTGCTGTGCACACAAAATAACTGTTTGTGTTCTGTTGCCACCTTTGATCCATCTCAGATGCCTAGGAAGGCTTGATAATATTGGGGAAGAATATTGGTGAACTTTAGTAATCAAATTTCCAGATCTCCTGTCATCTGTTTAATTTATTAGGCTACTTATTTATTCTGTTGATAATAATCTGTTGCTGGTTTCTATGGAGATGTTAAACTGATCTCTTCAAGAAATCAAACTCCATATGTGTTTAAAGTGTTTAAAGAAGCAGTGTGTGTCTTTTTGATATATATATATTTTTTTGGGGGGGGGGTTGTTTGCTTGTTTGCCAAGCTCTGCATTTTTGGTTGTTCAACTTGCAGTTTCAATATGAATGTGTTAAGAAAGGGTTGACACCACAGAATTCCTGGAGTGGACAGAAAGTTGAGGGTTTTTAATTCGGCTCTTGTGCTTTTAATTGGACTCTGATCTCAAGTGATTCTGCCTGAATGCAGTAGCAGAAAATCATAATCAATTTGTAAAGGCCTTTTCTTTAACATACTTGTCTCATGAGGCACAGAATGACCGGAGCAAATAAAAAAGTCTGCTGCATTTTCCCCTTCACGTTAAAATAAACCTAACATCAAATATTTTTTTTCCAGTAGCTCTAACACCCTTCTGGATAGAATCCAACAGGCGATCTTGTAAAGCATTATTTTTGAGTTTAGACAAATAAGAGGAAAATAACAGACATCTTGTTTTGAGGCAGTTTTTGTGGATTAACCCTGTAAAGCCTTCAAGGTCACATATTACCCAGTAAACTTTTTTCCCCCCTTTTCCACATTTTAAGGCTCATTTCATGATTTCACTGGACAGTCATGGGACGTGTTCGTCCAGATCCAATTTAAGACCGATGGAAACTTTTGTTTTAGAGCTTCCCAGCTATAGTGATGTATCTAGTTGGGGCCCAAGCGGGTGGCATTGTCCCTTGACAGGCAAGGCAAAGTGATAGGTTTAAAAATATGACTGCTCCTTTTCCAATTAGCTTCGCAGAATTATCCCCCAGTTCCCCCTTTGCAACAGTTTTGGACCTATTTCCCAATATTCTTCTGCCCCCTCCCAATTTTAGCAACGTAGCCACAGTATACGCTCATATGTTCAGATTGCTCTAGCCAAAACAGCCCTAAACAGACTTCAAAATAAGGCAAAATAAACCTGACTTGTCTGATGAAATCCGCATCCTTGATTGCCTTTAATCTTATTAATTCTCTTGTGTGTTGTGCTCTTCCCCCTCCCTTCCTCCCCTCCTGTATTGATGCTTTCTTAGAGTTCAAATGTTTTTTTTTTCCCCCCTCCTCTTCTTTTTTTAAAATCAATCTTTCAGGGTGGCTTCTTGTTCCATCCTTTTCTTCTTCTTCTTCTTCTTTTTTTTCTTCCCCTTTTAAAATTTGAATTGCAAACTGGACGGACAAGTGAAAAAAAAACCAAAACAGACACATACACAAAACCCCAGTATGGCATCAGAAAAGAAACACTGTGGCTTTAAACCCAGGAGTTTGCATATTCCCCTTGTATCTTTCCCCTTTGCTAATTATTGTGTTGTTTTCAGAGCAAATATGTCATATCCATGGCGACAGGGCAGGTTTATTGTCTTTCAGAAGCAATAGCTCACATAAGTAATTAATGCCTTTTTTTTTTCCTCTGGCTTAGGTTAAACAGATCATTCAAGGAGAGTCATATCTCTCTCTCTCTCCCTCTCTCTCTCTCTCCCTCTCCTCTCCCCTCTTCTCTCTCTTTTTAGCTCAGTGACATAAGAACACGAGTAAGAACAAGAAAATACTTTAACCAAGAAGTCAGTGACAGATTTTGCCCTCCCCCACTCTTTCCCCATCGCCCTTCTTCTACACACGTACATTTCTTTTAAAAGCTGGTCGCGTCAGTTTTCATAGAGTTGACATTGTCGTTCCTTACACTAAGTAAGTCTTGATTCCGAGGAGGAAGAGTTTTACAAATCAAGATGAACACTAAGAGGCTTATTCCTCTTTCCAAAGGATTGGTGGGTACCGTATGCTTTCAGAAACACAACCATTAATTTGATTTGCCCTTACCTGTCAAAAAAACTACACCCAGCTCGGCGTAGGTGTTAAAGTGCTGGCCTAGAAACTGGGAGATTGCGAGTTCTAGTCCTGCCATAGCCTGGAGAGCCAGCTGGCTGATTTTGAGCCAGTCTCTCCCTTTCTCAGCTCAGCCTACCTCGCAGGGTTGTTGTTGGGGGAAAAATAGGAGCGGGAAAGAGGATTAGTATGTAGCGTGCCTCAAGTTATTTGTAAAAATAATAAATAATAAAGGTTGGATAACATTTTTTTTTTTAAAAAAAGAACTCTTCAAAATATATTTAAAATGATTTGGGAAATAACCAGGCTGCTTCACAGATACCTACTTCCCACCCCACCCAAAAAACTTAGCTGGAAATATAACTGATTTTTCCCCCCCCGAATGATTCTCCTGTATCTTCATTTTTAAATTTCCTTGAGCAGATTTTAAAACTTCCCTAAGGAAATTGAAAAATAAATTTTAATTTTTGGGGACATGAATGGTATTTTAACTTTCTGAAACTTCTTGTGTTCTGTTTTAAATCATTTTTGTGCAGTGGTCAATTGCTTATGTGTTTCTGATAATCTTTTTAGATTCTTTCCCAGTTTTGCTTTCTTTATTAATAAGAAAGATATCATCTATCTGGTTAGAAGACAGTTTATTTCTCTGAGCTTTTTGTAAGGTGCCTTCTTTCCCTGTTTTCTTTGTGTCTCCAATACCAATAATTCAGGAGCACTTATAACCAACACATCTATATAAAAACTTAAGAAGGAAAGGCTGGCTGCCAGAAATGGGATCCATTTAACCGTATGCTGAATTTTAGTAAAAATCTTTTTGCCTGAAGCCTGCTTATCGATAGTATAACTTATACCCTAATCTTTTTATTTGAATTATTTAATTGTTTGGGTTTGCTGCACTTAAAAAACAATCTTCAAAAAAATATGACAGTTCAGCTCGTAACTGGTCAATTACCATAGGAGAAGCAACTACTATTGTGAATAACTCAGAATTGTAAGCCTAAATTATATCGGGTGTTCTTTCATTGGTGAGCCATCGTCATTTAAAAGATCTTAAAAAGCTGAGATGACAGGGAAAAAACTAAAGCATGAATACAGGTAGCTTTTGACTTACAACCGTTTGTTTAAAGACCATTTAAACATACAATGGTGCTGAAAAAAGTGACTTAAGCATGACCGGTCCTCGTGCTTATGACCATCGCAGTCATGTGAACAAAATTTGGTTGCTTGGAAACTGGCATGTATCTATGAAGGTTCCAGAGTCCTGGGAGGGTCACGTGATTGCCACTTTCCCAGTTTTTTTTTTTTTGACAAGACAATAGGGGAAGTTGAATTCCACTTAACAATCCCGTTTTAATTCCTTTTAACAACCACATTGGCAAAAAAAGGGGGTCGTAGAATCAGGTAGGGTTCAATTAATGACTCCCCCCCCATTGCTTAGCAACTGCTGATCGTAAGTCAAGGTACTACCTGGATGTGGGTTCCAGGTCTGGTTATTGAGTTTCTTTAAAAGGCAAGTTAGGTGGGCTCCAAGCAGTTGTCAATTACTCTTCATGTACTCCTGATGTCTGTATCAGAATGCAAACAGGAGGAATGTCCAGGGATGAAAGGCAGCAGCAGGCAAGAAACAGATTGTCTGCCACTTGAAATATTAAGATTCCAGCTTAGGGAATACTTAGGGTCCCGCTGCCATTCTGTGTTGATTGCATTATCTGTCTTTTTACCCCAACCCCACGCCTCCTCTTGAAGGAGGGAAGCCTCGTTGAAGAGAGAGAAGAGAATCCCCCAAAGATTTTGAATGCCATGGGAAGTCAGGGAGCAAGCTGGCTGAAAGGCTCCTGTTTAAAATGAGGTGGGGTTTTTTCCCCCCATCCTCACCCCTTTACCTGAAAGGAGCTGGTGAACCCAATGGATTTTCTGAATTAGAAGGAAAATGCAAGATAGTTAAAGCAGCCCAGAGCTGACGGCTACTGTTGTTCTTGTTCTCATCATCTGAATAAAACTGTTTTTATTCATAAGGCGGCGGAGAAGTTCCTGGATAGCATTTTAACCCTTGCCAGGTACAAAACAGGTAGTGAAAAACAGAAGAGCAAATGAACAGCGAGGTTGGGAGGAGAGAGGGGTGGAAGGGGGCAACAATTACAAGTTAACTTGGTTCCAGCAATCGTGCTGTAAGCTGAAAAAGGGGGAAAGCGGGAGTGTGTCATAAATTTTGTTAGAACTAATCAACCGTTGAAGAGCTCGGTGCTACCGAATCTTTCCAAGCAGGCAAACTTCCTTTTTTCCATCTGATTGGAAGCCTGAGAAAGGAACAGGAAAGGAATCTTTGGAAAGAGGGTGGGAAGGAAGGCAAATAAAAGATGAACAGAATTTAAAAGAAATTTACACAGAAATTCCAAAAGCTCTCTTCCTTCTCCCAAAACAAATGGCTGTAGGCTTATATTATATAACTCCTCAATTGTCCTTGATTCCATGTCACTCCTTCCTTCCTTCCTTCCTTCCTTCCTTCCTTCCTTCCTTCCTTCC